TACGGCCAAAGTGTGCTCATGCATGCGCGTTCTTAGGCGTTTGTCGGTCATGCCACAGTAGTTGGCTGGACAGTCCAGACATTTGACGCGGTAAATAACGCCTGACGTGTCTGCAGGTGGTAGCCGGTCCTTGGGCTGCATGGTTAAGCGGCGGATGGTGGCCTCCGGTCAGCATTTTTGCCCATATCCATGAGACTTCCGGGCGCGAAGCGCTTCGCCAAGCACGGCATTGGGAGTTATTTTCCTGTAGACAGGGATCTACACGGGAGCAATTGGCCTTTCTGCACAACTGCCTGAGATCAGACATTATGCCGAGGAGCGTCTCTGTAAGGCCACCAGCTAGAACCGATTTCGTTCGTGAGGTCGCCAGAAGCTGCAGCCGACGCCTACTAAGAACCCTCATCAACGAATGCCACATTCGTCTGCGGAAATACGGCAAGGAAATCGAAAGGGCGAAAACAGCATGTGCATCATATCTGGAGACGGAAACACTGCGAAACCTGGAGAGCTGGATCTTGATTAAAGTGAACGAGGAGCGAAATAAGAAAAAGACCCAACTCCTAAACAAAATGTGTACTCTAAGACACGCACAATCAACGGCACCCGGACCGTCATCCGTCCACAACCTGTCATCCAAACAGCTGACAGAGGACCAAGTTAAAGTTCTTCAACATGAATCCAGTTACAACACAGGAGACGCACAGCCAGTGGACTTCATTGCTGCACTAGAAGCGACACTCTCAAAAACTGATACCACGGAGGACTCAAAGAACGCGATTCGCCAACGAGTCGCGTCCCTCATCATGTCCCACAGACCTCGCCGAACCATCCCGCCGGCAGAGGTAAAGGCCATCAAGGAACTAAAGAGGGACGAATAAATTGTCATTGTTCCAGCGGACAAAGGGCGGGCAACCGTAGTGCTAGAAAAATCGGAGTACGTTACCAAAGCGCAGCAGCTACTAAATGACGAACAATCGTATAAAGTCATCGACTCCGACCCCATGAAAGCACTGGTAGGCCAAATCAACAAGAGCCTGAACCAGATGAGGAAAGAAAAGGCAATATCAGAAAAGGATTGGAGACAAATGAAACCCCAAGATGCTGCCCTAGCGCGCTTTTATGATTTGCCGAAAATCCACAAGCCAAATGTCCCCCTACGGCCCATTGTGGCGCTGAAAGGCACGCCTACATACGGACTGGCTAAATGGCTTGCCAAGCATTTGAAGAAGCTGACGGACGGCTCAGAACACACAGCTGTATCGTCAACACACTTCCTGGAAAGACTAAAAGACGTCACAATAGCCCCCGACGAAATAATGGTATCTTTTGACGTCGTCTCTCTATTCACCTCCATCCCTAAAGAATTGGCCATGGGAGCTGTCGATGACCTACTGAAGAAAAGGTACGACGAAGAGGGAAAACCTTTTAAGAGGAGGCACGCGATGGAACTACTGGACTACTGTTTACACACGTACTTCACGTTTAACGGCCAAATTTACGAGCAAATCCAAGGAGCCCCAATGGGGTCCCCAATCTCCGGCTACCTGGCTGAGGCGGTCTTGCAGGAACTGGAAACCCGGGTCTTCCAGACATACAAACCAAAATTCTGGATGCGCTACGTAGACGACACCTTTGTCATCTTACACCGAGACGCGAAAGACAACTTTAAAAGAGAATTGGACTCAGTTTTTCCACAAATCCAATTTACCATGGAGGAAGAAAATAACGGAGTACTCCCTTTCCTCGACGTCCAGGTATCGAGGCAGGAAGACGGAACCCTCCAGACTGGTGTCTTTCGAAAGGCGACAGACACGGAGAAAATTCTTCATTACAACAGCAATCACCCCCTGTCGCATAAGCGCAGTTGTGTCCGGACCCTTTTTCGCCGCATCCACACACACTGCAGCACAGAAGCCGAGAAGCTGCGGGAGCGTAAAACCCTATGGCGCCTCTTCCTTGCCAATGGATATCCACGCAGTTTTGTGAACAAATGCTTGTACCGAAGGCACACGAAGACGGACGATGAGAAGAAACAAAGACCAGAAATCTTCCGTGTCTTGCCCTACGTGAGTAACGTCTCCGAAGCCACTGAGCGCATACTAAGGCCGCTAGGCGTGGGCGTTGGTCACCGACCGGAGGCCACCATCCGCCGCTTAATCATGCAGCCCAAGGACCGGCTACCACCTGCAGACACGTCAGGCGTTATTTACCGCGTCAAATGTCTGGACTGTCCAGCCAACTACTGTGGCATGACCGACAAACGCCTAAGAACGCGCATGCATGAGCACACTTTGGCCGTAAGGCGAAAGGACGTACTATCGCATGTCGCCATGCACTGCCTGGAAAACAATCACAAGTTCGACTTTGACGGCGTCCAGGTGCTCGGCCGAGCCGAAAGCAAACTGGCGAGGGAAGTAATCGAGGCCTGGAAATCAGACACGAACTCTATCAACCGAAGTATCGATTTGCCAGCGCCATACGAGGCCGTCACGCACCATCTACGCGCGAGAGGGGGGGCAACGAGAAGCGAACGGGACGAACCTATCGGGTGAGAGTGCAAATGGCCTATTTAAACCCTGTATTTCTCGCTCAGCCTATCTCCGAAGATGTGCTCGAGTGTGAACACGAAACGTCAGATGAATAAACCTTCTTCCCCAGAGATCGCCTCATCCTCCTCTTCCATATTAACACCTGGGGTCAGCATTTTTGCCTATATCCATATATATATATACTTCACTTCTCACTGCCTTTCCTCTATTCTCTTGACTACACTCCCTTCCCTCCCTTAGTTTTACATTTCCTCTCCTCCTTTCTCCTGTCTTCGCATTCTCAAAAGTCCTAGATCGATATCAACACGCGACCCCGTATGCGGCCCAGGCTGACTCGAGCTGCTTTCCACTAAAGAAAGCCATTACCCATAGTGAAGTCCAGTGGCCATCGGGGATGTATCAGCAGTCCTATCTAGGGATAGCACTGCCTACGGGTCTGTGGGAGGAAAGACTACAGAAATATGTTCGAAACAGATGGTGGGAAATCTCGCCATCTGCAAGTATGCCATGCGCGTAGATGAAAAGTTTGCGGTCGGAACAAAACTATTCACAGCAAAAAGCACCCCTGCTCCTCGCCCCATCCCACATGCTGACAAAGTGGGTCTACCCACTCGGGCATTCTGAAATTCTTGTTCCCTTTTAGACAGTCCAAGGAGTAACCGGCCCGAGCGGAGGACAGCCCTATTCACCCAAGGGCCTGCGCGCTACCAGCCGAATATAGCTTCTTTCAGTCAAACTCGCGTCTCTGGACAATGGCGATCGGCAGAAATGGGTGTCGGCTACACATACGTCTGTGGTGGCTACTCAACTGCAGAGCGACGCAACGTCTTCGTTGCCTTTACCATTCAGAATTATCTCATGGGACGACTGTCCTGTCTCCCGCCAGGTATCAGCGACCGCCGCATAAGCCTGCTCCTGACTATTCGGGGAACCAACTCTGTCACGATCGCAAGCGCCCGCGCCCCTCAATGACCAGCGCCGCCGACGGAAACAAATAAACACTACGAGGACTGTACCGAAGGCAGACAACCTGATCGTCCTTAGCGAGTCCAGTTTCCGTGTTGAGACAGACAATGCCGTCTGGAGGGAATACAGAGTCTCCATGGGATAACCGGCTGCAACTAGAACGGCTTTCTCACGCTATGTGCCCAAGTAGAATACCGGCTCCTGTTAGTCAGCACTTTCTTCCGCTTTCTGATGCGGAAAATGTCGACCTAGATGCACCTCCGATGGCGGCGCTGACATCTGCTGGACTATGCTCTCGTTCGGAGACGACATCGATACGACGTTTTGGCCGCGAATGTCATTAGCGACGCCGACGGCTAGGCTGTCCACCGTCTCTTAATCTCTGAGATGAGGCTCCGTCTACAATCGCATAGGAGACCGTGGGAAAAGCGACCACAAGATAAGCTGAGTACTGCTCCGACAAATCTGTCCGCTTGCAGCTTTTATTTCAACAATTAACTGACCAAACAGTTTGAATATGAACAACCTCCAGATGAAGACGCTACTGCAGAGAATCGTGGTTTCAGCTGAGGAATGCTATCAAGTCCAGTGTCTTCAGTGTTTTCGGATGCGCACGTCAACAGCACTAAGGTTTTCGATGAAAACAATGCTAGTATCAACAATCTGCTCGCCGAAAACCACAGACTGGACAAACCTACATTGACCTCGGATTTACGTAAGCAATTCGGCATTCTTCAAGTGTCGCCGCCTCGTGCACAAAAGGTTGCGAGAGAGGCAGGGCACCTGGATGACTCGAAAGGCCAAAGCAATACAGGGACATACGGACCGAAATGAAAAAAACTTCTTCCCGTCGATCAAGGCGGTCTACGGCACCACAACCAAAGAAACTACGCGGCTTCTCAGCTCCGGTGGAACAACATTATTGACGAAGAGATCACAGACCGTGATGTGCTGGGCCGAGGGGGTCAAAAGTGTCTCCAACCGCCCATTCCCGATCTCCGACGGCGCCATCGACCGGCTCGTCCAAGTGGGAGCGACCAACGACCTAGGCCTCTCGCCTTCTCTGCAAAAAAAACTATCAAACCTGCACATCAGCACTCCGGCGGGAAAGCACCGGGATCCATTCCGATCCCAGTCGAAGATTACAAACTCAGCGTCTTCAGGTTGATATACTAAATTACAAATGAATTCTAGGAGATGTGGCGGCAAATACAAGCTCTTCAGGATTTCAAGGACGCGATAGTCGTCCATCTCCAAGGAGGAAAGTGTACCGGCAACTCTATGATACCAATAGAGAATTGTCGCTGCTCAGGATTACCTGGGAGGCACTTGTTCACATCTTCCTCAACCCCCTCAACTGCCCTTTGGAATAGGGACCTCTCCCGTGTGGCTAGTGTGGCTTTCGCGGAACCACCGATCTGGTTCGCTCCTGCCTTCAGCTACAAGATAAATGTTAGCAAATATGGACTCACCTCCACATTACCTTTGTAGAGCTGTTGAAAGCCTTTGATACGATAAACTGCAATGGGAGCTGGAAAATCACGCGGGAATTCGGCCGTCCTGGGAGATTCCCGCACACGGTGCATCAGCACCACGGTCGGACGATGGCGCGAGTCACACCAGTATACGCGCCGGATATGCAGCAGTTAGACTCTCGGGTAACCCCCCTAGCAGAGAGGTCAGTGAGTGTAATTTACGCCTATCTCCTATCTGGTTCTGTTGTGCAGGAGGGACCTGCCATGCAGTGACTTTAATATACGGGAGACTTATGACAAACAAACAGCTGCGCCAGGGACATTTGCGCTGTTCTTGTTATTAGTACGTGACTGGCGTGAGAAGAGAAGTCGATGTTGCTCACGTCTTTGCATTTTATAGCGACAGTCTTCCCGCCTGGTCAACAGTGAACATCTTTGACGGATTGCATTTGTATTTTGGGTGGTCGATGGGTTTTGCTTCTTGGAGTTAAAGTGGTCGCGGGAGTATCTGAATCCTTCTTATTCTTAAGTATGTTGAAAATAAGGGCAGGCCAGAGATCCCCCATTTTCTAGTAACAAAATATAACTAGACATTATTATAACTGAGCATCAGGTGGGTAGAAAAGTTCGGAGGTAACGTTGTGCCTGGCACCAAGACTGCCCAAATGATAGCTTGAAACGGCTTGCATGAACTCCACTTTCACTCCTGTCATGACGAACCCATCGCTAAATTGGTCGTAGATTTAAACGGCAGACAATGTATGATAAACTAGTCGGTTTGGTTAAATTATATGATTGCCTCTTATAATCGTTTTAAGCAGGGATGACCCGCTTACGCCGATGGCATTGGTTTGTTTTTAAAAAGCTGGCACGGCAGTTTTCATCGAAGTCGGTTAACTTAGGGATGTGAGTTCACAGTGCTGACAGGCGGAAAGAGGTTGATAGAAGAATTAGCTGCTGACTGACGCAGTGGGGGCGTTGTTTTGGTGGTGATGGTAATGATGAGGTGCTGTACGGTCGTAACTTCACGTTTTTGACGAATCACAAGCCATTTCTGTCAATCTTTGGATTGAAGTAAGGAATTCCCGTCTATCCAGCGAACCGCCTTCAGGGATGGACAATCATCATTCTTGGCTACGATTTCGACATTCGCTGCTGTCGCACTACCGACTTTAGTCAGGCTGACGCCCTTACACACCTCATCTGCAATCAGCAGGAACCTGAGGAAGACACTGTGATTGTCACTATTTCGATTGAGGACGATGTGCGCCGTCAGCTATCCGACGCCTTACGAGGTATCTCTGTCACTGTCGCGGACCTCCGACGTGCTTCTCAGCAGGATTCTGTCCTCCGTCAGGCCATCACCTACGTGCAGACCTGTTGGCCAGTCACTGCTCTCGCTGGCGATCTCCACCGGCTCTTCCTGCGCCGAGCTGTACTACGCCAGTTTCATGCGACACATTCTGGTACAAGTCAAATGTAGTCAGTTACTCTCAGTTTTGCTTACTGGTCGGGTATCGGCAAGGACATCGACGACCTGGTTCGACGCTGTTCGCGGTGTCAACAAGCCGCCAATATGTCGCCCGCTAATCACCAATGCCCTGACAACCACCAGAGGGACCTTGGTCACACGTGCATATCTACTTCACTGGCCCACTTAACGGAGTCTCATATCTAATCTTGGCTGAGACCTACTCGAGGTGGCCCGAGACTGCCCCGCTGAATTCAGCGATCACATCTGCCACTATCGCTTTCCTACGACGTGTATTTAGCCAATATGGCCTACTGGAAGCGCTGGATTCAAATACTGCCCTCAGCTTACTTAATCGGCGTTTGAGGATTTCTGTCGCCAACGCAGCATCCAGCATCTTCGCTCCCCGCCCTACCATACTCAGTCTAACGGTCAGGCAGAGCGTTTTGTCGACACGTTTAAGAGAGCCCTCTTGAACGTTCGTGAGAAGGGGACCATGGACAAGATAGTTCAGGCGTTCCTGTTTTCCTACAGGGCAACGCCGAACCCGTCGTCTCCTGGTGGCGTTTCTCCTGCCGAAACATTGATGGACCGAAAACTGCGTACAACGTTCCATACACTCGTTCCCACCGGTGTGCAATCCGCGCAGACAACCTCGCCTGTCTCTCGCAACAAGCTTTCCGTCGGAACGCCTGTCTTCGTTCGGGATTATCGAACTGGGTTCCCAGACTGGACTGAGGCAACCGTAGCAGCTCACAGAGGCAGTATATTGTTTGATGTGGACGTTGGTGATGGAATCTACGAATAAGACGCGGGACCAACCGTATGCGCCGGTCAACGCTGACGATACAGTTCAATTCACGCCAAAGGCGGTACTGATCTACTTGGAGGGAAGGTGTTGGGAGTGCCTTCTTTTCCAAAAACAAGAGCCAGCCAATCACTGGAGGCCACGTGCATCTTCTCTAGCGCGCTGTCAGCATGATAGTAGCGCCTCGCCATTGGCTGCTTCCTTCGAGCCTGACTGATTCGTGTATGTCAGTAATCGGTCGGCTCGTCTACACTTTTCTTCTCGAAGTGCACTGGGCCGAATGCAGGCGAACCCCAATAGGGTTTTATATACACGCGTTACTTTTCCAGTTAGACTTGACTTGCAGTTTCCTAATACACTTTTTCGTGGCCGGTCGTGTACTCCATCTCTGCCGCGTTGGTATTGGGGGCAAGAGCCGGATGCGCATACGCTCCACGTGATTTCAAGCACTCGGCCGGGTCATAACATTCGGTTCCCACGATCGGCTACCAAGGTTTTCGAATGACAATTTAGTTGGCGAAGATCGTCGGAAGGGACTTCTCAGACACTCTCAGCATTTATGCAGATATGCGAGTTAAGTGCTAGTAACCTCTCCGGACTAACTGAGTAGCGTTCACGGCAACGGTATGGAGAAGGGCCCCACTTAGCTGATGGCAGACTGTTGATCGCGTCATAGGGGGTTCTGTCCTGACAGCCATTCGTAGGCCTTCGCGGACATTACACTGCCAAGAAAAATCACTTTTTATGACTTCAAACCATCACTCAACTCCTTTATTTTCTGAAATTCACCTTTTGCTTATTTTTAGTTACCGCGCTCATTTCCGTTGGCGTACGAAGACGTACGAGGAGTCTTTCAGGAGAAATCCAAACAATTTCTGCGTTCTACTGCATTTCGTTAGCTTATTGTCTAGTGCACTGCCCCACCCGTAAAACTCTTCTCATCGCCAATCACTTATGACACGATCTACAATCTACTGATAATAAAGTGAGGTCCTTCTCCATATTGTTGCCGCGCTCACATCTGCACACCTGGCGGTTGCAGAATTCGTTTGTGTTTTAGCCATTATCAAGTTTAGGGAACGCGACTCAAGTTACAGGAATAAGATAGGCCTCGCTTTTACTTCGATACTCCTTGGTAATTAGTGTATATTTTCGATTGATTCTTTTGCAAAAAACTACTTCTTATTAACACGCACGATTTCTGTTCGCCCTATTAAACAGTCTGGTAAGTTAGTTGCATTTTGTACAGAACTTGCATTTTGAAGCCGAGCTGGACCATGTTTCTCTATTTACTATAGTAAACAAGTCGTACTTTTTGCTGTACTAGGCATACTATTGTAAATTATCGACAACTTGGTCTCTGGAAAGTGAGGAAAAAGTTGTTTGGCAGGTAATAATGCAGCCTCACCCATCCCTGAGTGCTAGAATCATGGCCACAGTCACAGCGGGTACCCGCATGCCTTTGCAGCCTTCTTGAGATAGGGTAAACTTTAAAACTCTATCCGTCCATATTGAACAGCCTGACCCTTGGTTCGCTCAAGAATACGCCCATGCTGTATGGACGTATGACCAGTGCATCCAGGAGAGTTATAGAACGAGCTCCTAAGATCACTGGGGTAGTTAACTCCGACGCTTAGGAGTGGATAAAAATGTAGGCATAATTTTGTATCACATAATATTCTCAGTCACGTAGCTGCGTATTTGTGGCCTGAGAACTAGATTCGCGCACGCTAAACGGCTGCGCTCCCTCAGCCGTAACGCCCTAATACTAGTTACTTTCACTAGTAAAAGTCGACTTTACCTTGTGGAGGAAGGAGACAACAAGTGAATTCTGCCCGTCAGTGGCATTGCTCAGTTACTCCTGGCCTCATATCTACGCAGAGAAAGTTAAAAAATCTGAGAATGTCGACAACCAAAATTAAAACGACAGCTCCTGTCGCCAGGTTGGATAAGTCGTACTCAAAATTATCTTCGGCCTCACCACATCATAACATAGTTCACTCCGTAGGGGACTCAACTAGGGTTGGCCTTGGAGGACCTCAATACGTTAGTGCGTCTTTAATACATACGCCTTACCTACTCTACCAGTAACCCCTCGCCAACCAATGTAAATGCTTAGTTCAAAGGCCAGTCTCGGTACAGTTTCAGCCGGCCGAACTTTGGAAAAATCTATTTTCTCTATGAAAACTTCCCCTTCACGATTGCCTGCCACTTCCCCGAACTCCACCACCCAAAAACGCACTTTCGACTATCCCCCAGACATTATATCGAAGCTCTTTTACCTAAAATATCCATGTCTAATAATAGCGTTCCCGCTCCAATTGGGGAAGTCCCCCTTCCTTCAAGATCTAACACATTCCCTCCACGATTGTATTCCCAGTGTAATCCTAATACAAATGTTCCTACTGGGCTAGTAAACGCACACAATCTTCAGTGTTACCACGGCGGATATACGTTGCAGCAACATGCCTATGGATTTCCTGTAGGAACTCGGCTAGCTGGCGAGAGTGGTCGATTTCCCTATCCGTAAATTCCTTGGTCATATCCTATTCCTCTTTACCCACATCAAGTCCTTCCGATGTCACAAAATTCAGTACAGAACTGGCCAGGATCAACTGATCCCTATGTTCCGTGAACAGTCAACCACTGGATGACAGCTCCCATGCTTCAGGACCAGACGGTTTGTCCCCTTAAACTTTTCATCCTATATTCCGGGTCCTTCCTAAATAAGGTGTCCTTACTTCAGGTTCTGATCTTCGTTCACTGTCCGGACATTGTTCTTGTAACACCTCCCGGTGATGACTCCGAACTTCCTCTTCTAGGCTATGGTTGTATTGGAAATGATCGCCAAGACAGCCGTGGTGGGGGAAGCTGCATCTGTATTGTGCAAACAGTTGTATTTCTGCTACTGGACCTCCCGTAATTGTCAGCGCCAGAAAGTAGATGCTTTAAAGAGTAAGTACTCTTTACTCGTCGGTTGTGTCTTCGCTTACCCAGCGCCAGTGAGGATTTTGATTTTTGTCTCTAGTAGGCATTTCGTGCAGCAGCCAATTCAAATTTAAAGTATAATTTGGTTGCCTGTATCTGCCAGTGTCATGCTTAAGTCCACCTGGGGGTCCAGATTACGACATAGTTGTTTTTACATCAAAACTCTAAGATGATGAAATTTCGTTCAAAAATGTACCCTCTTCTCCGATTTCCGCTCGGCCTGTTCGACAGAATTATGGGTAAACCTTAATTCCCACGACTGGAGAGATTTCTTCCAAAATTCAGATGTTAAGTTTTGCAGTGTTAAACTGTATAAAGTTTCGGATTCACTTATTTCTCGCTTTGTTCTCTGTAAAAAATATTTTATGTCACGGGTGAGGTTTTATCCTCCAATCTTTTCGTCGTAGGTTACAAAGGCTGTCTCGTTGGTTTCGCCTGCAACAGGAACCTTCCTTCTGCCCCTGATCTGCCATAATTTTAGGCAAGCTAAGAGGCTGCCAGAAGAAAAACGGCTGGTCGAGGAGATCAACTGCTCCGTATAATGCTCGTTAAACGTCGTGAAACTTTTCTTACGCACAATATTAGCTCATAGAACAGAGCAGCCTTCCGTCCTTCGAGACGCTCTGAGAAATCTCATAGCAGACGCCAAGTTGACCGCTATTAGCTTCACTGCTTTTTTGTCGAAAACGCATATTAGAAATTCGGCTGCCCACTTACAACTATCCTGGTTTGAACCGGTTCCGTTCTCGAAACTATGCATACTACCCGCTGTACGTATCGCAGCCATTCAAAGCTTTCACCAATCTCATAGTCCTGGATCAGATGATGTCCCGCTTAGCATTTAAAATGAGATTTTTCGGTACCTCCCGTGCACGACTTTTAAGTTCGTTCTCTAACTTGAAACCTACCCCAGTTCGTGGAGGAAGTCGCACATTCTGCCCATCCGTGTCCACGACCGTTCTACGTCATTTGACGGCTTTTGGCCAATAAACACCCTCCCAACAATTTCGAAGGTCTTAAAGGCCTCAATAAAAGATAAAACGATGCGTCGCTGAACAGAGAATAACCCAATGAGTGTCGCTCAGCATGGATTCCTCAAAGCTTGATCTTATGATCACTGGCAGCCTCCTTTCCTTGATCATGTTCTACAGTCCAGGGACAATGGATTCGCTCTCCACACAGGATTTCTCGAAGGTTTTTGGTCAAGTTGACCATA